AAGCAAATAGTGCTATGAAGACTACCTCAGCCCTTGCTGGTGCGTCATTGGGCTTTCTCAAGCATCAGCAGGAACGACTGAAAATAGAAGATGAAGTGTCACTTCGCACTTTTCTTTCTATCCTGTGTGCCAAAGTCTTGAAGCAGTACTACAAGAGAACAAAGGAGCAAGCTCGATCGCCAACTGCATTATACGAATCCAATGATCGTATGGTTCCTGTCAACTATCTCATCAGCAAAACAGAGCTCTCTCATTCCTACGATGTTCACAAGTTTGTTCTTCAAGCTGAGCGCGTTGCGAAATGGTTCGATTGCATCAAAGGATTCTGTTAACGCTTCGGATTACGAAGATGCACCTTACTTTTGTGTCAAACAGTCGAGCGGGATGGGAAAGACCAAAGTAATTTACGAAGGTTGCAAGCAGTTGAAACAAAAGAATAATTGGTCTTGCTATACAGTTTTGCCATGGACACTGAAAGATTCCGATGCGCTGACAAAGGGCGACGTTTTCTCTCACAGGCTAAATCTCGAAGCATTATGGAGGAAAAAACAGCCTTGGATGCTGCAACGGCAGTTCTTGAATACCTGAATGTTTTCTACGACAAACAAGTAGCTGAAGCATCCAATCAGCACAATAATGAAAATATCATATTTCTTTGTTTCGATGAAGCCCAGGTATACTTGGAATCCCAAAGGTTCCAGAACGACAAGGGCGCCGAGAACGTTAAGCATCCTGCATTTCTATTTTGATGCATTCGGCTATGGCTTCGGCAGAAGAAACGACATCAGGAAGTGATTGGTTGCTTTTCTGGTACGCTTGCAACTTTGCCAAGCTTCCGACTGGAGGCTGATCCACAGCTGTCAGTTCCATCGTCTCGAGACTTCACGCCGAGTGGCAAGCAGTACAACTTCTATGATAAAGGCGCAAAGATGTTTCCAATATTTCTTCAGACAACCACAATGGGCTGCCTCGCGGGTCAAAATTTGGAGGGAGATAAAGAATTGGGTAAGCATACGACAGAGTATCGTCATGCGATCCGCCATGGACGACCGCTCTTTGAGCTCATGGAGGAAAATGGAGATCAGCAAGAAATGAAGGATCAGTAGTCCGTCGGATGCTACTGTATGGTCTCGGGAATCACTGGATTGTTGGGAAGGAGTCACTCAAAGCATGTCTCAGTATTTTGGGTACCAGGGTGCAAATGGGCCAAACTTCTTTTCCTGTGGCTTCGGACATGGTAGGCTACGGTTATGCCAACCTGACTCATGCCACTTCAACAGATGCAATAATATGCTACATGCCAGATCCTGTTTGTGGTCGTCTGGCCATGCAACTGATGGACCCAGAATGGGCATTGGGTGACATCAAAGGCAGGCCCAGTAGTTGGTGGCTGCGGAAGATGAAGGAGATTTTTTCGCAAGGGCTCTGTCGACCTGAAAAGGGGGACTTTGGTGAAATCATGGTTGCGCTGTACTTTCTTGTTTGTGCCGATGTGCTTCGGCGACAGGACAATCACAATCACACTACGTTTTCAGTATCTCTTGAAGATTGGATAGAGCAGCTAACAACTGGTGGGCTTGAGAGAAGACAAGGGCATCGTTCCGACGAGGATGTTTTGCCAAAGCGGAAGAGCAAACGCCTCCTTGCTGCCAAATCACAGGTCTCAAGACAGAAATTGACTGCTGAGAAAGTGGACGAAACAATGGATGAAGCTTACGAAGTTGAGGTGGAGGCTAGCATCAGCTTTATTCAAGTTTGTCGAAACTATTTGCGTGCTTGTGAAGCGGACTGGGAAGGATTTTGTTCGCAGGAGTTTCTATCATACATGTACGCAAGCGGGACAGCTTTCTACGTATTCCCTGGTTGTCCCATTATTGACCTTGTCATTACCATCAAGCTGTCAGGACAAAGGAAACATTACTTTGCGCCTATGGTGATCTCCATCAAGTTGCGTGCGTACTATTCTCCTGCAGATGCAAGATGGGAGTGCCAGCGGATGACAGAGAGATTCAAGAGAATTGAAGAAAGCAATGACAAGGAAGTTTTTGAATTCTTCCCTGTAGCATTGTGTTTGCTGGTTGTGTTTGGGTCTACCGCTGTCTCCGATGACAACGACCTTACCCTAGGCCATTCTGCAATCAGGGAGCTGGCAAAGAAGAAGGTGGTTAGCAGAGTACTTTGCATTCCTGCAAAAGATGCATTTGGAGGATTCTGTAATACATTTCGCACGTTGACTAGCGAGATTACGTTTGGCCCTTCTGTAGTATTTGCGTCCCACTCTTTTGTCCGTGCTTATTGTATGGATGACAACGCGGAAGAGCTCGATACTACATCTGCACTTCGTTCTTTGTCTGGCAAAGAAGAATCAGAACTCTTGCAAAATCTTCATGAGCAATTCAAAAATGGATACGGCTCGTCTGGAAGTCTGTAAGAAGACTTCTGAGCAAAAGTGCACCATAGTTGTTGGACGAATAAACAGCTAGCAGATACTTGGGATATACCCGGAACTTTCTAGTGTATGTCTCACTGTACTGCAAGACAGGGTAATTTTCAGGAACACCCAACAGAACGAGGTTTTTTGTAATCATTCCGAGGATCGCGTCACCCACCCCGCAACCCCGATGCTTGACCTTCATCCCAATCTACCTCCCAAAATCCCCCACTTCAAAACTGGCTGGCGTTGGATCTTGGCCAGTGCCGACCACCTTTGGCCGGCCTGCCTCGTTTTATTTTAGTGTCCTTTCTACCCATCCTCACTTTTCTGCAGCCTCCCTCCACAATGACAATGGATTGTCAGCACTACATGATCTTCCCAATGAATGCTGTAACTGGGAAGTACAGTTGATCATTCTTGATGTATGAAAAACTAAAGAATGCATTATACCAGAATCTATAACCTTGTAAACAAAATTAATAGCCATGTCATTGTCCATTTGCTTCCATTTTACGGATAAGGTATGGTGATCCTCCTTATATCAATAATAGTCTCTGTACGAACCTCATCCATTCTCACTTCTTACAATTGTAACAACTCAACAGGACAAGACCCCACACATGTACCCATTGCCTAAGCAAATGCCAGCTCATCCATCAAGCGGCTTTTGATCAATGCTCAAACAGCAGTGTTGATGTTCTGTTGTCCAATGATAAAGGCGTAGTATTCATATGCTCTTGTTGGAGTATACATTGCTGTGCCAAATGGCGACGGAGCTGAGAACTGTGGCACAACGGTCCAAAACCATACAACCACATTCATGGTTAAGCCTTGAAATTGGCACAACAGGACAAAACAGTGTCATAGTCAAATGTATAAAGTGTTCAGTGTTGACGTCAA